TCCTACAGCCGCCTGGAGGCCGCTGCCACCTCCACCCCCGGCCGCCGCTCCTGCTTCGGCTTTGAGAGGCTGCTAGCAGAAGACAGTCTGGCCACAGTCTCGCCGGTGGTGGCCTCCAAGCCCTTCGAGGTCACCGGCATCTCTGTGAAGCCCTGGGCCCCTGACACCACCCTCCCGGGCATCTCGCCCCCGACCGCGAAAGAGAGGCGAAAGAAGAAGAAAGCGCCGGAGATCCTGGTGAGCCGGCGGGGAGAGGGGGTGGGGGTGAAGGGTCTGGAGGCGCCGGAGCCACAGGGCATGGGTAGAGACGCACTAGACCCCTGCTCACCGCCACCCCCGACCCCCCCGTTTCTCTTCCCCCAGAAATCGGAGCTGGATGAGTGGGCCGCGACCATGAATGCAGAGTTCGAAGCTGCTGAGCAGTTTGATCTCCTGGTTGAATGAGATGAGATGGGGGGCACCAGACCAGATGCTCCCTCCTCCCTGTACATAGCTCTTCCCCCTCCCTCTGCCAGAGCCTAGAAAAGATACTTGGGGCCCAGCTGGGGGGCTTGGGTGACAGCAGCCATCTGGTTTGGGGAATGGGGCCCGTCTGGCCTGGTCACTCACGGAGGTGGTGGTCTGTCGTCAGGAGCGCTGGTTCTCCTCTCTGACCCAGAGGCTCCAGCAGGAGGAGGCTAAGGAAGGGCTGGCTGCCAGCCGCTCTGAGTGGCTGCCAAGGGAACGTGGCCGCCCTGGCGTGGACTCTCCCGTGGCCTTCTGTCAGGGCTTGGTCCCCCTGGAAAAACGGGGTGATGTCAAGAGACTTTGGGCCCCTGGGAGCCCCTCTCCGGGCCTGTAGGTTTCCGGACTGGGGGGCAGCTTTGTCTTTGAGGAGTCTGTTTTGAAGCAGGGAGGGAAGAAGCCTTGCTCGGCTCTTCGCCCGTGAGCCATTTTGTCTAGAAGCTGTTTCGTAGTTGTGTTTTCTGCCCCCCGAGATGTAGTGTAGATGCCAGGAGCGCCGGCTTGGGGCTCCAGGTGTGCTTGGAACTCACCTGGGCAGGAGGTCCTCCCCGCTCGCTCGTCAGCTGCCTCAGCGTCTTTATAAAGACACCTCAGTTCTAGATGATAGGAATCATGGGTTAGCGGTCCCAGCCCACCAGGACGTTTTGGGGAGTTTTTCTCACGCAACCAGAGAGGCAGCGCCTGGCAGACGTCGTCCTCAGATGAGCGCTCTACCTAAGGGTACCTGTCTTCCGCCTCTGGGGGATTCCCCCGACTGCCACCCCTTTTGTCAACGCTGGTCAAAGGTGTGGTTGTAAAGGCTGACCACCCAGGTGCCCCAGCCCCGTCATTCTAACCTTTGATGTTTCTGAGCTCGTCGTATTCTTTTAGAAGCGAGGGGGTGTGTGGAGGGCTGGTGGGTAACATAGGGGAGGGGTGTGCAACTGGGTGGGGTCCTTAGATTCGACAACAAGCGTGGTGGGCGTCCGTGAAATCCATCACAAGACCCAGGGATCACCGGGAGACATCGGCCTTCCAGCCGCCCTCTGAGTCAAACTTCCCGGGGCCTCCTTGTCCTCCTGGCTGGTCGAGTTCTTGGGGACATGTGCTCCTCCTGAGGGGGCAGCACTGCAGACCTTTCTCTGGCTGAGGAACCGAGAATATGGGGCGTGCGGTAAAGTTGGGACTGAAACAGTAATAAATAAAGCGCACACACATGACGGGAGCGTATCTGGCTGTCTATAGACTTGGTCTTGCTGGGTCAAAGGTGGAGGTGAGGCCCAGGCAGCGAGCCTAGTGCAAGCTGTCACCATGGTTGCCCCTGAACCCCACGACCCCATGTCTGTCCCTGCCATCACTCATCTGTCCCCAATTCAGGATGGCTGGGAGTGGAGGGCTGTCCGTCCTTATTAGCATAAGATATGCCCCATGAGAGGGGGAGGTTGGGGGTGGGGGGAGGAAGTGGTGTTAAACTCGAACAAGGGAACAAGTGATCCAAAAGTGTGGTGAGGAAGGTGTAGGAGGCCGAGTAGGGCTTGGTCAAGGGCAATGTAACCGAGAGGAATTACTGTAACCCAAATGAAGGCTGAGCATGATAGTGGGACAAAGGGAAATAGAGGAAAGAGCTAGGAGGCAAAGGGCATTTATAGGTCTAAATAAAGGCATGCACATATGTAAATATATATATATATATGAGGATAGGGAAATAGATTTACGTGCATATATTTATAGGTTTAGTATTAAGGTAGCAGATGGACATTGGGCCTCCACTCAAGTACTCCCTCAATGCAAGAGCACTGTTCTATTAAACTGGCATTCCATGATGCTCACCTTCTCAACACAATCACTGAAGACAAAGCAGGTGCATAAGCAAATGTGAAGAAAGCTGATGGTGCCTGGCTATCAAAAGATATAGCATCTGGAGTCTTAAAGGCTTGAAGCTAAACTAGTGGACATCTAGCTGAGAAGGAACAAAGCCCACATGGAAAAAGCACACCAGCCTGTGTGATCATGAGGTGGTAATGGGATTAGGTATCAGTCATCAAAGACAGCGAAAAATCATATCACTGAATGATGGGGAGTGGAGACCCAAAGCCCATCTGTGGGCAATTGGACATCCCCTTACAGAAGGGTCAC